TCCATCCATCCATCCATGATCAACTAATTTATCCCATGCGCAGCCAGTACACAGTGGATTAAAACAATGTCAAATAACAAACTAAAAACTTGCAATACAACCAAATTTCCACTGTGTGACATATCCCTGATCTCAGTTTGCAGTCACTACCCAGAGCTCATAACCACAGGTGAGGGTTGGGACGTAGCTCAACAAGTAAACTGAGGACCTTTCTTTTATGCTCAGCTCTCAGTTCACCAAGAGTGAGATGTATGAATTTAAATACACACAAATACAATGAGGTAAAGGGAGAGAAGTGGCATAACCTGAAAAGCTTATTGGTGTGTTGTCATGGTCCGCAGGTGAAGGAGATGTCTCTGATCAGGAACACCATCCTGGAGTGTCAGGTTTGCGGTGAGATGGCGGTGCTCTTTGTCCTCCTCGTAGTTTGAGTTTGAAATGTGAGGAAGCTCTGACTCTCAGCGTCTCTGTCGCAGGTTTCCATGAGCCTCGTTCCCGCTGCTTTCCTAACCCTTGTCACAAAGGCGTGTCCTGCATGGAGAGTCTGCACTACCCTGGATACACCTGTGGTCCCTGTCCACCTGGAACCACTGGCAATGGGACACACTGCAGGGACATTGATGAGGTAACAATACAACTACACTTCAACAGACAACAATGCCAGTACTGCACATTGGGGGTGTGCTCGGCTTATTTCCAGCTCTGTGTTTTTATTCTCAGACCGTACTGTTTTAACTCCTCCTTCTTTGAATCAAATCTTTTCTGATTGGCTGCCCTTCACAAACAGCAGGCAGGTGGTTGAAGCGGGCCATAGATGACCATATTAGGAATATCCTCACTTACTGACATCATACAGATGTAGGAGTAGAAAAAATGAATCCTTGGGTTTTGGCTTTCGCATAAACTGACCTCATTATTTGAACATTGATCACTGGAACAGTACATACATAATACGGAAAAGAAGGAAAAGAAGAAGCTGTCACTTTAGAATAAGCACAACTACACACGGTATATGTTTGTAAAGCCAGACGTGTGTTTCAGTAACACCCGTCTTCTCTGTCTTAGTGCGATGTGCAGCCATGTTTCTCTCCCCAAGCCTGTGTGAACACAGCTGGGGGGTTCAGCTGTCAGCCATGTCCTCCAGGCCTGTGGGGGGCGCCACTGTCGGGAACTGGACTGGACTACGCTAAGACGCACAAACAGGTCAGGCAATAGACTGCACTTATTTTTAATTTTCCACTGGCACTCAGTTTAAGTCTTTTTTTTTAAACTTCAACTCTGGATTTGTCCCGGGGTCTCTCTCTTACACACACACACACACACACACACACACACACACACACACACACACACAAAGGTGTGCTTGTTTTCTCTCTTTCACTGTACCTTTATGGGTGGATACAGTTTTGTGTCAGCATGTCTGCTGTATCCAGACTTCACACTGTTTTACAGCCCGAGCGCTGGATGTGTTTATAAAAGGAAAATGCAGCTGGAAACAATTAAAAATAACTTTTGGAGAAAAGAATAAACGGAAACAATAGAAAAAAATAGAAAGTTTGAGTACATATGGCAAAAGTCACTGTAAATGACTACTGTGTGCGCTACTCATATATGTATATATATATATATATGTATATATATATATATATATATATAGAGAGAGAGAGAGAGAGAGAGAGAGAAAGAGAGAGAGCATTTTTGTAGTTTTTTAAACTGGTTTTTAACAAGTACATCAGGTGTCCCTGTAAATGAGCCCCGACAGTGAGCAGCACTCTGGGCGTGCTTCACATAAGTGGAAAAACAGTTCGACCTGTGCTTTTCCTGCACGATGAGCCAACGTGTCTGCAGAGAAAAGTGTTCTGAAAACCTGAACCTGTTTCTCAGGACTGTGTGGACATTGATGAATGTGTTGATCTACCTGACGCCTGCGTGCCAAACTCTGTGTGCGTCAACACTGTGGTGAGTTCACATCTCTGTTCTCTTCACACAGATAAAAATTCCTGTGATGTCTTTGCCGAGAACATAAATTTACTTGCACGTTGTTCTCTTCAGCCCCTTTTCCATTAGTACCTATTCGGATGGACTTGCCACAGTTTTCCATAGTCATAGTACCTGGTACCAGCTAATAAATTAGTACCTGCTCAACCGGAGTTCCAAGTGATCCGAGCAGGTACTAAAAGGTGACATCATCAGACTGTGTGCAATTGGCTGCTTAGTGGCGTCACTCGATGAGTCATGAGAGCGTCTCGTTCAGGAAAATCAAAACCGCCATTTTTGAAACCCGACAACGAGAGAAGCAGCTACAGAAACAATGCCGTGTTCCCGATTTTGACGGAAAGCCGCAGACCGAGCAGCAGGTATATTGTTAACTGGATGTTGCATACTAATTTTGTCACGGGATGCTCTGCCATGTTGCTATGACGATGACCACACACATCAGGTGGTACTCGATTGTAATGGAAAACCAGTCGATCCGAGTCGAGCAGTGGCAAGCCGTGGCGACTCGATCCGAGTAGCTACTACTGGAAAAGGGGCTTTAGCTGAGAAACAGCGCCCTCTGGTGGAGATCCAGCTGTAACTGCTACGTTATATTTCTCTCTCTCCTCAGGGCTCGTACAAATGTGGAGGCTGTAAACCTGGTTTTCTCGGTAACCAAACATCAGGATGCTTCCCTAGGAAGTCCTGTGCTGCACTGACCTTTAACCCCTGTGACATCAACGCCCACTGTGCCATGGAGAGGAACGGGGAGGTTGCCTGCAGGGTGAGGACATCAGACCTGATTGTTTCGAGTTTATGTAACTGTCATGTAACGATCCATGTTTCCACACAAATTACCTTTATGAACATGATGTTCCTCAGAGGAGCAATGACACCAAACCTAAAAAACTTCCAAACAGTCGACTACATCTGCATTGTTTACTACTAACTGTCATCACGCTTCACAGCTCACTGAGCTCAGCTCAATGTAAACTAATCCACACCGCCCTCTAGTGGCATTTTGGAGTAGTGCTTTATGAAAAGTGACCAGAAAAAATGAAAACCAACAAATATATACGTGACGTTTCTTTGGGTTTAGTGTTTTTAATTTGGTCAAACTTGTTCAATGGTGGATCTTTTTTTTGATACTGTGTTTTAATACCGCTTCGTCCTAAATATTCCTCTGTCAATACGACACAGATTACAAAATTATGGATATAACGAGTTAAAACAAACCCACTCATGATTAGGGTTGAAAATAAAAACTAATGAAAAATGCAGAAGCGTTAATTAACCTTTTGATTTCGTTAAACAGAAAGAAAAGCTTCAGTTTTATGATAGCACCGATAAGGTCGTATTGCCTCAAGTCTGTCCTGAGCTGTCACAAAGTTCTCAACATTTAGAGCATTTAATCATCCTCCTGGTGCACACATTGTCAGTAAATGAGGCGGTGGTTCATCTGAAGTTGGAAAAGGTCAGACAACCATTAACAGCTAATAAAGTACGGTGGACGTCCACCGTAATGTTGTTTTTACAATAAGAAGTTTTACGCCTTTGTACTTAGTTTTTCATATATATTTGCAGTTTCATGTAAACAGACCAGAGAATCACCTGGATGATCCTTTTTTGTCACGTGTGTGTTTCCAGTGTAATGTGGGCTGGGCCGGCAACGGGAACACGTGCGGTATGGACACGGACATTGACGGGTATCCCGACCGCTCTCTGCCCTGCATGGACAACGACAAACACTGCAAACAGGTCAGACATATGACACTATCACTGTATCGTGTCACATGCGATCAGCTGTTGTTGACTGATAATAGGTCATTTGATTAATTTAGTAATTAAACTCTAAAAAGTAATTTGGACTGTGATGTATGTGTGTGTGTTACCTGCTGTCTTTGTCCACCAGGACAACTGTGTGTTCACACCAAACTCTGGCCAAGAGGACGCCGATAACGACGGGATCGGAGACCAGTGTGATGAGGACGCTGACGGGGACGGCATCAAAAACGTGGAGGTTAGAGACCGCGAATGCGTCTGTCAGTGGCTGTCGTGGCTGTGATGTGGTCATGTGACATGTCCTCTGGCCTTCAGGATAACTGTCGTTTGGTTCCTAACAAAGACCAGCAGAACTCGGACAGCGACTCATTCGGAGATGCCTGTGATAACTGTCCCAACGTCCCCAACAGCGACCAGAAAGACACAGACAACAACGGACAGGGAGACGCCTGCGACCAGGATATCGACGGAGACGGTTAGAAACCGCCATCAGACCTCGCAGGAGACTTGTGACTCTATATTGCCCTCTAGAGACAAAGAACAGGAACTACAAGAGCTGTGAAGCAAATTAAGCTCTAGAAGTTTGTCTTTAAGGCTGTTTATTTACAAAAACATGCAAACTGGTGAAGCCACAGTGCTGCATGAATGTCATTTATAACCATTAAACAAGACTGGTGAATGGCTTTGTGTCCAGGTATTCCCAACGTTCTGGATAACTGTCCAAAGGTACCGAACCCGATGCAGACAGACAGAGACAGAGATGGAGTCGGAGACGCCTGCGACAGCTGTCCTGAGCTCAGCAACCCAATGCAGGTACAAACACTCAGGCCCTGTGGCACGCTACGTTTTATTGGACATAAATAATCACACATGGAATTTAAATTTGTTTTAATAAAAGTCGCAAACAAAGAACACTAAATGTTAATGCTGAGAAATGTTTTGAAAAGTATTTGCGTATTGCATCTTTGTTGTTGTTGTGACTTTTTTAGTTGTGAGAAAGTCAAAAGAATTAAAAGGTCACACCAACAACTCACAACTGAGGCGGCTGATGAATAACAGCTCGATGTAAAAACAGCATTTCTGTGCGTTTCAGCAGTAAACAGAGACAGTGTAACACGGTGTGCACAAATAACTCAGTAACAACTGTTTTGTGTTTGTAACTAGCAATAGCAGAAAGGTCAGAGGTTACAGTC